GTAACTCGTGGCCACAAGATAGTAACTCGTGGCCTCAAGATACTAACTCGTGGCCACAAAATAGTAACTCGTGGCCACAAGATAGTAACTAAGATAGTAACTCGTGGCCACAAGATAGTTAGTATCTCGTGGCCACGAGTTACTATCTTGAGGCCACGAGTTACTATCTTGTGGCCACGAGTTAGTATCTTGTGGCCACGAGTTACTATCTTGAGGCCACGAGTTACTATCTTGTGGCCACGAGTTAATATCTTGTGGCCACGAGTTACTATCTTGAGGCCACGAGTTACTATCTTGTGGCCACGAGTTACTATCTTGAGGCCACGAGTTACTATCTTGAGGCCACGAGTTACTATCTTGAGGCCACAAGATAGTTATAATTTTTTTTTTTTTACCAAAGTGGGACTAGAGGGGCTCCGTAGTTTTTACTTATTTAGAAATGCAGTTAATTACATGTCTTGTTCCTAGTCCTATTTAAAGTAAGCTAATATTGAACATGAAAATAAAAAATCTGGAACAATAAAGTGGATTAACAGTTTTCTAGCAACATTAATGCAACAATTGTTTTAAAAAAAAGTTCATACTCGTACATTAAAAACCTCCCTGCAAGGTAAGTCTTGCTAGTCTTTGTCCAATTCAAAGTAATACTGGAACATGAAAAAAATAAAAATAATGACATTTAAATTACATGTTTTAGACTCGGGGTGGCTCTACAAAGTTATTATTCATATCCTCCTACTAATACTCGGCCCACTAGTCCAGTACATCTAACTTTTAAGTTAGTCAGAATTCGCTCAATACCAGCTTTCAAATGATCCATTTTTCATGCGTTCGCCGTTCCGAACTAAACTGCCAGTAAGTGCCGATTTTGCAAGAGTGCCGCGAACTCGTTGACATGATGACAGCTCGTCATTGTAACCGGAGTGCTTTTTGCTTACTTTCTGTTTATAACCCATTGACAATTTAAATCTACAAGTTTTGTTTTTCATGCTGTTAAGAGGACCATCAGCCAATAATTACACATTGGAGAGTAGAGATGCGCGGATCAGCTCTAATGTCACCCGAATCAGCTGTTAAAAACAAGACAGATGTTGTGCTCGATGTCACGCACGGCGATTTTTTCATTAGTCATTTTGTACCCAGCACACATTTGGAAACATTGAGGCACAGATATACCTAATACAAATAAAACAATGTTTTTCAAATCAAGCTGCATGCTGTCAGCTGCATGGCTGGCGCAGTCTTCACTCGAACGTGCGCGCACTTCAATCGCCGTTGCGGAGACTCTATTCATTCCTCTATTTAGCCCATATAAGTCCCATTAAAGGATTAGTTGACTTTTGAAAAAACTTTTGCTGATAATTTACTCACCCCCATGTCATCCAAGATGTCCATATCTTTCTTTCCTCAGTCGAAAAGAAATTTAGGTTTTTGATGAAAACATTCCAGGATTTTCCTCCATATAATGGACTTCAATGGGAACCGGATGGTTCAAGGTCCAAAAAACAGTTAATAACTGTTTCAGATGCAGCTTCAAATGTCTTTAAACGACACCAGACGATGAATAAGGGTCTTATCATGCGAAACGATCGGTTATTTCAAAGCTTATTCCAAAAATGTAACTTTTCTAAGGACAAATGCTAGCCTTTCTTCATTCTGTGAGGCGCGTTTGTAACGTCACGTAATACGTAATTACGTTCAAAAGGTCACGGGCGACGTAGCCGGAAGTACAGAATCAAAATCGTCCGACATCGTTGTTTTACCTTTTAATTCCTTTTTTGCAAACGGCGTTTGAGTTAGTTTTCACGTTCGACCTATGCGTTCAACTTGTAAACACTCTGACTCTGTACTTCTGGCTACGTCGCCCGTGACCTTTTGAACGTTGTTTCCGGAAGAAACACAAACACGAACCGTTTTCTTCTCTTCAATATGTACACGTAGCCTACTGTTCGCGCTCACCTCATCACCTTATTCACATCTCACCAGCGCACTTGGATCGGCGTTCGTAGATCGACTGGTAGAGACTATTTTTCAAAGATGGCTTCTTCCTGTATTCGCGAAGTTGACTGTGTGTATAAAATATCTTCTTATTAAACTGTATGGACACTGACAAAGTTCTCAATGCTTCGGTTTGTATGTAGGGACCCTTATTATGCTGTCGTGTTAGTGTGGGGCTATTTTGAGCCTTGTTAGTGGTAATAACAAGCGATTTTTATTTGTCATTATTCTATTCCCTATATACTAGTGTTATACTAGCGTTATAGGCTAAACTGTTTTTAGAGATAAAACTATTTACATTCGGCAATCATGAAAACAAATCTCAGAAAACGGTTGACTAGGTAACAATGTGTAATTAGACCAAAAGTTCATTTTGCGCCGGAGTTGTCCTTTAAGTGTAATTTTAAGTTTATTTATGAGAGCTACATAAGAAGTAGAATGAAATTATACTTTTGTATTTTTAGTTTAAAAGAAGTATAGCATGAATAAACAGCCCACTTCAGCCTTAAAGCAGGACTACAGATCATTATGAAGGGTTTCACAGGATTTCTCTGAGCACTTTGGATGGATGGATGAACAGATGAAGAGTGAGTGGAGGTGAAGTGTGTTTGGCGTTGCCCTCATGAAGAGGCTGTGATGGTCAGATTATAGAGGCTCTGTTCAGTAATGGCTCAGGCAGAGCGCCAGTGTGACGGGAACATTAAGGAACATCAGTAAATTACACCCACAGACGGCATGGACTCGCTCCAGGTGCTGCGGCCCCATGCCAAACTTACAGCAGAGAGCTGTCATATACAGAAATAAAGTAAAGTGCCGGAACGCAGTCAGAAAAGTTCAAATGAGAGAGTTATGTGAGATATATGAGTTCATGTGAGAGAGTTAGAAAAGTTAATGCTGGATACTCACAACATTTAGATCTGACATCCTTTAAAGTTATAAGTGTGAATCCAGACGCTAGTGTTTTTATATCCGTGACTATTTTTGTGTTTGGTAACGGCGGACACTCTAACGTCAAACACAGCGGACAACACTGTAATTTCTGAAAATCCTAACCCTGGCAGGGGTTTTCAAAAATGTTCGGATTCAGTGACCTGGCATTTCTGTGGGAGCGAACGGCCAAACCGCGTAAAAAAAAGTGTGTGCCGTTATCCACTGTTTGACGTCAGAGTGTGCGCCGTTATCCGCTGTGATGCCACAATTACACTAGTTCAAGTTTTGTGCTAAAACAAATTGGATTACATATTGCAAAATACATTTTTCTCAATTGATTATAGTTATATTTTTAAGTGAGGTGTCAGTTCCTGCAAATCAGCATATTAGAAGGATCATGTGACACCGAATGATGCTAAAAACTCAGCTTTGATCACAGGAATAAATTACATGTTACCATATTCACATAGAAAACAGATAAAAAACAAAAAATTACAGCCTCGGTGAGCAGAACAGACTCTTTCAGGATCTTACCGATCCCAAACATTTGAACGGTATGGGAATAGGCTCTTTTTTGGGAAGCTTATTTCAACTTATTTAAATTTATAGCAGTTATGAAATCTGAACATAAGTGAAGAGTTCAGATGCAAAAGCCTCTAAATGCCATTTGAAATTTTCTTCTTTAACCCTTAAAGACCTAGACCATTTTTGGAGCACCTGCACCGCTTGTTCTTTTCTTTGTTTTTCTAACCCATTATAGCAGTCAGCATCAAGTGCCATATATCATTTTTATCAGGAGAACTTGAAGTTTCAATCTATCTCATTTAAATAATCCAATTTTACATTTAATTTGTCTTAGAATGGATGAATTTACCAGATTTAAGAAAAACGGCAGCATATTTGTAGTGATTTTTTTTACTCAACTCAAACAAATCCTCATGAAGTTTGGATTTTTTCCTTTAGAAAGCTGTACTTGGATATTTTACATTTCCAGATGTAATTTTGACTACATGCAACAATCCCTAAGCAAGTTATAGGTATTTATTACAACATTATTATAGGCGATTTTCAGTGAAAAGCATTGTTTCAGTGAAAACAGTGTTTTTCATACTGACAATTTAGATGTGTCCAAAAAAGTTAAGGAAGTAACATAAATAGAAACATTGTAGTAGAACAATGAAGCAAAAAAACAAAAAAACAAAAAAACTTATATATAAATAAAACTTATATATATATAAACACACACACACATACATACATAGCCTATGAACTACTTTGACTTTACCTCTTTTCAAATTTCTAAAGAAAGATGCTAATTGGCCGTGCAAAAGACCAAGAACTATATTTATTGGTTGAGTAGATGATAGTTTTAACCAATCTGGGGATGGGGTGGGACTAAGCATTAACAGTCATTTATGATTGGCTCAGAGGAAAAAAACGCACGGGTTTCTTTGACGAATCAATGCTGATCAAAACTTGATGACGCAATCACATTCACTACGGAGCTTCTGAATGTCCAAACGCGATTAACCCGATATCACAGAAAAGCCGCGAATCTCCTCTTCATGGGACTTTTTAAAGCATACGGATTGGAGCAGCGGTTCAAAAGTTATTTAACATTTAAGAACAACAGTTATTTTTATAGGTATAGGTCTTTAAGGGTTAATGATGATTTTTATCAAGCTTGTATATTTAAGTTCAGTAATTTCACTTAAATGGCAATGATAATTACCTATTAATTGTTATTTAAGTGAAATTACTGAACTTAAATATACAAGTTTGATAAAAATCATCATTAAAGATGAAAATTTCAAATGGCTTTTTTTTTTTTTTTGCATCTGAACTCTTCAAGTCTAAATGGTGAACAAACCCTGTTACAGAGGTCCTGCAGCTATTGAAATAACTGAAATAGAAGAATAATGAGATTTTCATTCACTGGAGGTTTGCGCACCTGTGTGTGTGTGTGTGTGTAAGTAACTCACTTCCCATGGGTTTGAGCTGCTTTAACAGTGTTTATTAGTGCATGCAGCCCAGTTTCACTCAACAGTCTCTCTCTCTCTCTCTCTCTCCAGGAGAATGTGGAGGGCCGTAACTGTGACCGCTGCAAACAGGGATATTATCATCTCCGTGGTGAAGACCGTCAACATGGATGCGAGAAGTGCTACTGTTATGGGCTGGCCAGCTTGTGTACTGAATCCCACTGGGACTACAGTAATGTAGGAGACAAGTGTGTGTGTGTGTGTGTGTGTGTGTGTGTGTGAGAGAGGGGTCTCGTTTCTCATTAGTAACTCTACCTCAAATCTCTGCTTGGCTAGTGGGATTCAGTCTTATTATGCAGTAATGGCTGTTCTTACACACAAATGCACACACAGGCCATTCACATTCACATATTTTCCAGTTTAATGAGTGAATAAAAAGTTGCTGGTCGTCACGTTTAAAAGCGAACTGTCATAAGCACAGTCTTTACACTAAAGCGAAGAGTGTTTTAAAGCGTGAAAGGTTAATAGTGTATGGGGCACTTTTTGCATCAATTTGTGTGTATGAATTTGTGCCACTGTTGTGTGTGTGTGAGAGAGAGAGATGGCTACCAGCATCTGTCTGTACAATTAAGCTGACCTTGAGTTGTGTTTTCAGAGCTCTGCTTGCTTTAATTACGGCCAGTCGTGTGTGTGCGTGTCCATACGCTGCCCATGCATGTGTGAAAGAGTGTGTTCTGTGGCTTTAATCTTATTGACATTCATGAAACTGTCTATTCACACACAGTCTTACTTACACTGTAAAAAATATTTTCAAGATTTTTTTTATCACAGCATATTTTCTTTTGTCAAATCAACTTAAATAATTTATTTAGTTCAGATAACATATAATTTTGAGTTTCTGATGGTTAAATTAATCATTAATCATTGTATTAACTCACTTTTTTCAGTTCAATGAACTTAAAATTTTAAGGCAACCAGGTTACTTACTTTTTTAAGTTAAACCATCAATATTTTTTTTTACAGTGTAGAAATGTGATGCTAAACTACACTGAAATAAGAAATCATCAGAGCCTATTGTAGAGAAAATGTTTATTTTGTTATCAGGTTTATACACAGAACAGTGTACCCTTTTAAATGGGGGAATATTACTAAGTCGTGTGCGATTGTGTCTTTCAGCTCTTATTCCAATTATATATGTCAAGCTCAGGCATTTCTCAATGTCCTTTCCAAATGGGAAGCGGATGAAGAGAAAGAGAAACAATCAATAATGTTCTCTTTATAAGAAGGGCATTATGTGCTAATAAGCTTTGAAATAAAGTGACAATGACATGAAATCAATAACTGCTACATTTATCCAGGAACAGATGCAGGAGTTAAATCTTTTAATTTCTCACATTACATTTATGTAATTAAGAAGAAAATCTGTCCAGCGTACTTGAAAATACACCTTAAAGCCACAATATGTATTTTTTCTGCATTAAAAATAGCAAAAATAACTATCTATGTGAAGAGCTCTTTTCCAAAACGCGATAAACGCCATTTTTAAAAAAAAAATGAGTTTGTCGTGTCATTCTGCTGTGGACAGAACCCTTTCACTGCCCCATCAACGTTTCATGCCAAATCGCTATATTTCCCTGTTTACAATGTACAGCAAGATACAGTTTCTTTCCAAAACGCAATAAGCGCCAGCCCTGTTTTTAGCCTAAACGCGATAAGTCCTCAAATTCGATGAGCGTTCCACGCAATCCAGCACGGCGGCACTCTGAACAGAGGTTTATTATGTTCATTCATTCCTCAAAATGAGTCCTAGTTTTCTAGTCGACTATAGTAGTAGATCATTTAAGCCATTTGTCTAATCAGTAGGCTAATCACATATATTGATTTAATTAAATGGGAGAGAAACCATGTGAGCGTTTTTTAATTGCCTATTTAACCCAGTCTCATCCCAAAAAGTCATATAACTGACGTTTTGGGACGTATTTTGACCATACGTCAATATCCGCCTTTTTAGGGCCCCCTTAAACGTCGGTAGATGGCGATCCCGGGCCGTCATACAACTGACGCTTTACCTTTAACGTCAGTTAGGTGACGGGTGGTTTAGGGTTAGGTTTAGGTATGGGGTAGGGTTAGGATCCCATAACCTCATCTACCGACGTTTAAGGGGGCCCTAAAAAGGCGAATATTGACGTATGGTCAAAAGACGTCCCAAAACGTCAGTTATATGACGTCTTGGGATGAGACTGGGTTGGCCTATTCCGCATCTCAATGCATGCATAAAGCTTGCCACAAAGAACCGGCAAAAGTAATGATTGTGCATGAAACATTGGAATTGTTTATTAATAAACTAGTGTTTTCTGTCAGTGTCAGCAGCAAAGATAAAGTTGATGATGCTACTCGCCATCTTCGCAGTGAACGCGCATAAGCCTATAGAGAGATACTTCGAATTAGCCTACATACGCAGAGAGTTGCCAGTTTATTTTCGTTTTTAATTGTTTTGTTTAAAAGTAGACATTTAAAGATTTCTGTAGCTTAGTTCTCAGGCCTGTGTGAGGCAAGCATCGCGGTGTTTCGGTTCATAATATATTAGACGCGCTCTCCGGTTCACGTGCGCGGCTCGTGTCCTAATTATATTGTCTGATATTTGCTGTTTTAATCCAGTCAATTTGTTGATGAAACATTTATTAAAATAAAGATATAATTTATATCAAACGAAATTTACAAGCTTTCTACAAAACAAAACTTTATAAGTGGTCAAAATCATGTCTGACCCACTCCAAATATTTTCCGATATTGGTCGGATATCTTACTCATCTCATGCGGTTCCCTTTTCATAGCCTACTCAACATAGATGAAATAATACAAATAAGTAAGGTAATATTAGTAAACACAAATGTGAAACGTAGCCTATGTTTATTTTATGTTTTTTTTTTTTTTTACTTATATTTAAGCGTCTCGCCGCTCATCCCTTTTTTGAATATCGTTATCATTATTGATCATTTTTAATTAGTTTTTTCATGTATATGTTGAAATTGGTAGCCTACTATTTGTTTGAGGTTTGACACTTTACTAAAAATGACTTTACTAAAAATGATACAAAAAAAATGGATGGATGTATAGCGTTTTGAAAAAATAAATAAAATTAACTTTTAATTTATCATTAACAATATTGTTGTTTGATTTAATAATCATTGTTCAAAATGTTCAGACTGAACCAATAAAACATTTCAACAGGATAATTTGATTATTCACAAAATTTGTGGGTCTAGGTAAAAAATGTAGTTTTCCTGAAAACTATTGAAATGGATTTATAGCGTTTTGGAAAAGAGCTCTTCATGTTATATATTTCTATTAGATGTGTACTTACATTATCCCGACAGTTTCCACCAAATTTCAAATACGGAGAAATTTATAGTTTAATTCGAAGACACGGGACGTTTTTTTATTTCCGTTTCGTCGCCCGTCTATGGCGTCATATAACCTTTGACTCCTCTATTTTCTCTAACTTCCTTGCGGAACCCGGCGAAACCGCCAAACACAAAGGGGAACACCGGACTACCGTCAATAAAGCAAAGAGAATGACGAAGAAAAAAAAGTAGTACGTATTTCTATGTGTGTAAATCACGCTCACGAGCGCTCACTCTTAACAGACACACTGTCCCCGGTGCTGCTCGCGCATAAAGCGCTCCCCATCTAAATCTACAGAGAGATGCCGTATATTCGTATATTTTGTGAAACGATGATGTCATGAGCTGAGCTGGTTGTCATTGACAGCGGCAGCAACTCCTGTGAGCCCACGCTCTTTCCCGACGTCATCAAAGTACGTCTTTTGTTATTATTTTAAACGAGTGACCCCTGGTGGCCAAAAATCGCATACTGTACGTTTAAAATAGTTAAAACACCTTAAAATACACAATAATTCCTATGAATTGTCTCAATCTAACCATCTCAGGTTACCCATGTACCATGAGAAGGGAACTAGACGCTGCGTCGATGATGTTACTTCGGGGAATCCCTTCACGGCGGCGCTCCTGAAGTCACATGTGCAACTTAGTCCAATCTTGATTGGTGCAACGTCATCCTGTGACGCGTGCGAATGCGTCCTTATTATGTAGCCGAATCTGTGCTGTTTTGTATTGGCCGCCTCCAGTTTTCACTTTGGTTTGCCTCCAGCTAGCGCCGTGACGTAACTGTGACGTCGGCGCAAAAGGGGTCTATACCCCTCCGTTAGGTCCACCTGTGATTCCCACGAGTGAAGCACCACGTGGGATGCTTGCAATGCTCACCATCAACCTTATCAAGGGCTTGGCAAGGATGATCTGCTCTTAAACAGTAGAGATGCGCGGTTGGCGGTTACAGCCGCGGACTCGGGCGGATGACGTGACAAAAAAAAAAATGTTTTATTAAATTCGGGCGGGTGGCGGGCGGTTGAACCAAATCACAGGATGACATTGCACCTATCACGATTGGACCAAGTGGCACATGTGACTTCGGGAGGGAGTCCCTGAAATTACATCATCAATGCAGCGCGAGTTCCCTCCAAAGGGAAATGTCTGTGTAATGATTATTCAAGAGTTAGAACAATAGATGAAGTACAACACTGCAGGACATTGACGTTCTGACTACAGATATACATACATATGACATTTACTGTACATTAATAGTTATTATTATTAGGAAATATTCATATTGTTCACAGTACTTTTCAGGTCAAGAGTCAAATCAATATGCCACTTCAGTATTCAGTGACACCAACTATTGATTATTTATTTATTGTAAAACCACTATTGACATAGTTTTTGCCGATTTATGCAACTAATAAGAACTCCTGAAATTGTAGTTCCTACATATTATCTGTTAACAGCAGAATCTTAATGGGATACTTTGTTATGAGGTTATGAAATGCCAAAAGAGATTAAATAAATTTGCTGGACCTTCTGCTGAAATGATTCAACATAATTTATTTATTTATTGATTTATTTATTTTTTTTGCATATTTGCATATGACTTAACATTTTCTATATTATTATTGCCCCAATCTCTACACCGCACTCACAACAGTCTCATAAATCTGTGTGTTTTGGTGTGTTTGTCTGCAGGTGATGGATATGTCTGGATGGTATCTGACAGGAGCGGATGGGGAGGGGCTTGTGTGGGCGGAGCCTAGCAGAGAGGCGGCCCACCAGGTCACCGTGAGCCAATCAGATGCTCAGACTCACCTGACAGCACCCTACTACTGGAGCGCCCCGTCTGCTTACCTGCACAAGAAAGTGAGTCTGGTGTGTGTGTGTGTGTGTGATGGATAGGTTTATGTCTAGGTTAGTGTGTTTGTACAGTATAAAAACCATTACGTCTATGGAGAATCCCCATAAAACATGAAAACCCAATGTGTGTGTGTGTGTTAGTATTAATCTGCTTATAATGTGCTGTAATGATGTCCGTCACATGACCATAATACAGACATCATTCATCATCGTTATGTTACAGGCTCATTTAGCTTTGCCCTTGATTTAACTTTACTGTCTACAGGGGGAGAGAGAGACAACCGGGGACTGTAAAGATGCGCATAATGGCAGTATGAAATATTAAATCAGATGAGTATACAGTACTGATATGGATCCGCCACTGAATAAAAAAATATAATAAATAATTGTGACTTTTTTTCTCACAATTCTGACTTTTTTTCTCACAATTGCGAGTTTATATCTCACAATTCTGACTTTATTTCTCCGAATTGCGTGATATAAAGTCGCAATTGCGTGATATAAAGTCGCAATTGCGAGTTATAAAGTCAGAATTGTGTGTTATAAAGTCAGAATTGCGAGATATAAAGTCAGAATTGCGAGATATAAAGTCAGAATTGTGAGATATAAAGTCAGAATTGCGAGATATAAAGTCAGAATTGCGAGATATAAAGTCAGAATTGCGAGATATAAAGTCAGAATTGCAAGATATAAAGTCAGAATTGCGAGATATAAAGTCAGAATTGCGAGATATAAAGTCAGAATTGCGAGATATAAAGTCAGAATTGCAAGATATAAAGTCAGAATTGCGAGATATAAAGTCAGAATTGCGAGATATAAAGTCAGAATTGCAAGATATAAAGTCAGAATTGCGAGATATAAAGTCAGAATTGTGAGATATAAAGTCAGAATTGCGAGATATAAAGTCAGAATTGCGAGATATAAAGTCAGAATTGCGAGATATAAAGTCAGAATTGCAAGATATAAAGTCAGAATTGCGAGATATAAAGTCAGAATTGCGAGATATAAAGTCAGAATTGCGAGATATAAAGTCAGAATTGCGAGATATAAAGTCAGAATTGCGAGATATAAAGTCAGAATTGCGAGATATAAAGTCAGAATTGCGAGATATAAAGTCAGAATTGCAAGATATAAAGTCAGAATTGCGAGATATAAAGTCAGAATTGCGAGATATAAAGTCAGAATTGCGAGATATAAAGTCAGAATTGCGAGATATAAAGTCAGAATTGCAAGATATAAAGTCAGAATTGCGAGATATAAAGTCCGAATTGCGAGATATAAAGTCAGAATTGTGAGATATAAAGTCAGAATTGCGAGATATAAAGTCGCAATTCTGAGAAAAAAAGACAGAAGTGTGACTTTTTTTTGCGAGTTTACATTTCACAATTCTGACTTTATAACACATAATTGCGAGTTTATATGTCGAAATTCTGACATCTTTTCTCAGAATTGTGAGATATAAACTCGCAATTGCGACTTATCAGGCCAATTCTAAGGGGAAAAACACTTTTTTCCCCCTCAGAATAGTTTAAATCTCACAATTCTGACTTTATATCATGCAATTGCGACTTTATAACACATATTTCTGACTTTATATCTCGTAATTCTGACTTTATATCTCACAATTCTGACTTTATATCTCGCAATTCTGACTTTATATCTCACAATTCTGACTTTATATCTCACAATTCTGACTTTATATCTCGCAATTCTGACTTTATATCTCACAATTCTGACTTTATATCTCACAATTCTGACTTTATATCTCGCAATTCTGACTTTATATCTCGCAATTCTGACTTTATATCTCGCAATTCTGACTTTATATCTCGCAATTGCGACTATATCACGCAATTCTGACTTTATATCTCACAATTCTGACTTTATATCTCACAATTCTGACTTTATATCTCGCAATTCTGACTTTATATCTCGCAATTCGGACTTTATATCTCGCAATTGCGACTATATCACGCAATTCTGACTTTATATCTCACAATTCTGACTTTATATCTCACATTTCTGACTTTATATCTCACAATTCTGACTTTATATCTCGCAATTCTGACTTTATATCTCGCAATTCTGACTTTATATCTCGCATTTCTGACTTTATAACACGCAATTGCGACTTTATATCTAGCAATTCTGACTTTATATCTCGCAATTCTGACTTTATATCTCGCAATTGCGACTTTATATCACACAATTCTGACTTTATATCTCACAATTCTGACTTTCCATCTCGCAATTCTGAGAAATAATGTCAGAATTGCGAGAAGTAAACTCACAATTGTGAGAAAAAAAGTCAGAATTGTGAGATAAAAAGTCGCAATTACCTTTATATTTTTCATTCAGTGGCGGAAACAAGCTTCCATAGTACTGATCTGTCCCAGACAGACATTTATTTATTTCAGACAGTAATATACATCAGAGGGTGTTTAGCCGGTGTGTGACCATGACTGGGAAAACAGGGGAAAAGACATTCATCTTCGATTACAGAAGTTTAAGCCAAAATTTACTACATTTAGACCTTAAAAGATTTAACAGGTCATGAGCACATCACAGCAAGTGCTTCAATGCATCATCATGCACTCGTTCAGAAAGTATAAACAAATGTACCAGCTTATAATGTTTACTTTGCTGTGTCCAGATCCATTGGATGAGTTTATTACAAGCCAGACACTAGCGTTCACTCTAGTAGGGCTGTAGTCAACCAAAGAAATCCTTAGTCGAACAAAAAAAAAAAAAAGACGGGATGTCTTGATTGAACATTTTTTAACAGTTGTCATATAGAGCATTTATAAAACAACAACGAAATATGGCTTTAGCAAAAGCACACTGCTTTAAATGAAGGGACCGTAATAATCATGTCTTAACAATAACTGAAACTAAAATCTGATTCATCTTTGGGAAACAAAGGCTCAAATTGAGCCTGAATTGAAATCTAATTGATGTGATTGTGATGTGAATAAGGGGATGTGTTGATTCCTGTGTAAACATGCGCAGATGGATGTGCTGAGACCTTTAAAAAAAACGCACCTCAAGCTATCAACTAATCCTCATTCATACTGTAACATTTCTTGGGGGGTGGAATAAAGACTAGGAAAGACTCAGAATTTGCACTGAACAAAATTATTAACCCAACACTTTTCACGAGTTTAACTCAAAGATCTATTTGATTTCCATCAAATATTGTTCAAAATATTGGATGGGTTATCTCGGCAAAGGAGAAGTGCTCACTAACACAGATTTAGACAGATTTGTGAACAATATTTGAGGGAAATAGGCCTTTTGTGTTCATAGAAAAAGAGTTCAGCCAATGCAAAACGGGGGCGAAAACAAAAGTGTTGTGTTTATAATTTTGTTCAGTGTAGCACTGTAAACGGGTTCAACACTAAATCATGCGCAACTCACTGCTAACTCACTATAGTCATGATTGAACATTTGAGGAATCATGAACAAACCCTAAACACACACACACACACACACACTTAAGAACTTGACAAGTCAGTGAACAAGATGAATATGCATATGCTTTCCCTGAATATTCAGACGTGTGGTGTGGGAAGCTGTTAAACCGCGGACGTTCTTTGACCTCTGAACTCTCTCCACTGCTAATGATGCCATTAGTCGGACTTTAAAGCCACTGTCAGCATTCATCTAAAAGGCTTTTCATATCCAGGTGTATTAGGCTGTACATTTAATTGACTTTTAAAGTTTTAAATGAAGGATTCATCAGGTTGTGCGTCCCTGATGCACTTAGAGTCGGTTACACGTGTTAAAAAAGCGTCATCATATTTCACAATAATCCTAGAGCAATTTTTTAGGATCATTAAGATTATTTGCATTGCGACATTATTTTCACTACACATTGTCCACCAAATTCCCATAAAGAAAAAGAAATAGTGAAAAACAAAAAAAATGGACCATATTCTTTATGCAAAATATATTACTTCTTATTTTTCCCTTTGCTTTTGTGGTGTAATTTGACCCAGACACTTCTTCATGAGATTCACTGTTATTTATATTTGCAATAATGCAGACACTTTTACGTATAAGATGGATCACTTTAGTTTTTATGGCTATGAGTCATACTTGTTTATTTGCTTGACTCTGAAACGGTGAATGCTTTCCTTCAGAAGACTGTCAGAGTGAATTTAGATTGACACGATTAAACACACAAGACACATTTGTAGACATTTTAGTGGTTATGTGAAGTTATATATATATGTTTGCTCTTTACATTGAGTAAGCGCATATTTGAGAAGGTGTCTGGTAATACAGTTTATCTCTATGGCAACAGCTTTCTTTTGTTAAGATGATGTTAAATTGGAGACCAGCTCGTGCTTGCCTCAACCGAGAGTTTCAGACGCTTTCCGTCGAGAGTTTAAATTGCTGTGGAGAAAGTGCACATTACCTGGAAATTGTGGGTCTTTACAACGTTCGCTTACAAATTTCACACATAGATATGGAGATTATGTGCAATTGTGGGGGGAAAAAAAACCCATTCTTTTCTTGGACATTAATTTATGCGTATCGTTAGCTCAAACTTTGCTGTGACTTTCAATTTTGATATGTCATATTGAAAAATAAATTTGACATATAATATTCCTTAAAATTTGATTTTTAGTGTGGTTTCAGAAAATGACACATGCAAATGCCCCATTTTTCGATTAAATGAGATCACACAAAGGGTTTGTCATGTAAGTTGTGATATCTTGGCATTGCCTGGAAAGGTACTTTACTTTATATAACCCAAGTTCTGGTCCTGGACTGATCAGCAGCGTTCCAGTTGTGTTATATTGAAGCAATACCACACCAGCGAGAGCTACATGTCACACTGTTGTATTCATGTGAAATGGCTCTTTATACTTGGTTACTTCTGGTCCTTGAATATCTACTGAATGTATATCATTTCTCACAGCATAACCCACCATAATCTACAAATACTACTGGTATTGTGTCACCAAATATAGTTTTAGGAAAGAATGTAGTTGTTTAGA